AGCATGTGTATACATTTGCATTTTAATCTTATATCTTGAGATAATTTATAAAATTGTGATCAACACATAATACAGGACTTAAAACTGCTTTGGAAATACATAATACAAGTAGCCACTAAAAATTCATCTCTTTACATATTCTTGCAATTCTAAGGTATTCAGTGCAAGCCTAGGTTCTGGTACCTCAAGGATACAAGCTCCTACTTGACCTGTCCACTCTTAAGGAAAACAGTGAACAGTCTCCACTGGGCAGACTTTGACAACACTGCCCTACCATCACTGCCACCAAGCTTGCCCCCAATCCCCTCAGGGAACTTATAACAAGTTGAGATATCTCCCCAAAAATTATGACAAGATTTTAGAAGAGATAGGCAGTATATTCTCATCCTATGTATGTACTCTGAGCATGCAGTAATTAGCATACACTTGAACACAAGAATGAAAAACAAATTGCCTATTTTGGAACATCTCCTAGCTCTATGGGGAGTTAGACTTGAAAGCTAAAAATTGCAAAGCAACTTGAGGAATGTTTTTGTAACACTACATTATGTATATGAACAATGATTTGGAACATCATTATGCTTGCAATTGGATGGCCTGTGGCCTGTGACTCTTTCGTCTGTGAAGATGGCATGACAGATGGTATGGTACTAACTCACGAGATCATTGATACCATACCAACTCATTCATCTGAATACCATCTTATAAAAGCAAATGTCTTAGATACATAATAACTGGTTTTTAAGTTAAATAGAATCCTTGGTGAAGTGGCCCTCTTTCCCTATTAAGCTAATGGTGAGTAAGATCCTGCCTACTGGACAATCTCCAAGTATAGTTAAAGAAATGAGGCCATGTTTCTAGCCTTGGAATTGTGTGGTAGTAGACAGTAGAAATAATGAAAGAGACTGAACTGGGCAGTCAAAAGTAGAATCCCAGACCAATACTGTTCAAGGTTTCTGGATCTGTGAACACTAAGAAGCAAATTCTGTTGAAGAGATTTCAGGAAATATAAGAGACAACAATAAATAGGGAGATACGTGAGGCTATTCCACAGTGAAATGAGAACTGAAAAAGGTGGCAATAATTTATTAAGGACAGCAGCATACAGCTGTGCTACAAGAGATCATCGCCCATCATGTTTATTATACTCATTTGCAGAATGAACTCCCTGCTCCCAACTCTAGGGTATGACATTCAGGTCCTCCTTCTAAAATTACAGAAAAATTCCAATGTCTACATTCTCAACTCTTTTGAATGCCAGACGGCCTGTTATATAAATCTATAAAATATGACACCAAATAATTTTGATGCTATTATGGATGAAAAAGTTGATATTAATAACCCCATTTTGTTAGGAAAGGCTTCAGTAGCATTATACAACTTCCCAAATGTTCGCTGTTGATATGGAACAAGCATGACTCTAAACCAGAGAGGTTTCTTCTAAAGCCAGGCTTTCTGAAGGTGTTATAAGCATCATTGCTGCTTCACAGTATTACTGAAGAGGAACTGAGCTTTAGGGAGATAATAATTTGATCAAGGTGGTTTAACCAGTAGGTATTGAACTGGCACACAAACCAAGATGTTCTAACTCAAAAGCTCAAGAAAGTTATATCCACTTGATAAAGTTTTTTTTTTTTTTTTTTTCTTTTGGGCAGTACTGGGGTTTGAACTCAGGGCCTCAAGCTTGCTAGGCAGGCACTCTACCACTTTAGCCATGCCAGCCCGAGTTATATCCACTAATTTCCACTGTCCATTTATTAAACTAACCATCTTGAACATTTAGCTTCATGGATCCAGTTTCAGTTAAAGTTATATGTAGGTCCATGTATGGGTCCACTCAGGGATGAAGATTACCTCTGCCATGTAGGCATAGGACTATTCAATGTGAATCTTCCTTGTCTAAAAATCCCTCAGAGCTGACCTTTATAGACCTTCTTCATGTAAAACTACCTTTCCCTACACTAGGCCAGCCATCAGGAGCTCAACCAAAAATGGACTCTCCAGTGGTAGCATTTGCCACTGGCCTTCCAATATTTAGTAAATCTATAGGGTTTAATCTGCATAGCTACAATATAGTTGAGTAGTTTTGTTTTGTTTTTTCCTTTTTTATGAAAAAAATATAGAAAACAAGAAAAAAGATGCAATTACTTCCATGTTTTAGTTGTTATACTTTTCCAAGAAGAAAACTAATCAGAGGACACAGCATAGCTTAGAAAGGAAAGCTAGGCTAGAATTGAAGCCCTCATTTTTAAATCCTGTGTTTCATGCTGTGTTTGCAGCTGGGCTTGTGATGTTTGTTAAGTGAATTTTGGGGAGCACTTTGGAGCTTTTTCCTTTGTATCTTCTGTATATTGCATATACCAAAAAGTATCAATTATTAAATTGAATTAAAATTTCAATTAATGACTAAGGACCTGAAAGCAGAGTTGGCAATGATATCAATGGCCTTAAGATGAAAACTTGACTCTTATATAAGTTCCATTTACATCTTGCCGAAGATAGAATATGATTCTTACAAAATGAGCTAATGAGAAGATGAATGAGCAAATTGATTGGTGACTATATGAACAATCAGATGAGTAGATATGTGGATATAAAAATCTGTTCACACTTTTAAGCAAAAATAAATACAAATGATTTAGTAATTTGTGTGGGCCACATTTGGAATCTTACTGGATATATAGAGAGTGGGGACAAGCATACTTTAGACAGAAAGATAGGTGGTAGACAGATCAATAAAGACTATCTCCTTATTTTCAGTCTTCACCTGCTGCCTACCAGGACAACTTTGAAGTGAAAGCCAGTTTCAACCAATTATTTCTCCTCTTGTTTTTCATACTGTGTTTGAAGCTCTGGCTTGTGATGTCTGTCAAATGAATACATAATATATGTAAAATGTCCTAGAATAGAGCATAATCTATTAATATAGATTAGAGATTGTTTTCCTTTTGTTCTTTTTTTTTTTTAACCATTGTAGCCATTTCAAAGTTTCTTCTTTCTGAATAGCATTTCATTATTAAGTGATAATTTTTTTGGTATTTTATCAGCATTTGTCTATATTGGCACTAACAACATTTTTGGAGTTTCAGATTAATTATTTTGTAATATCATCTTTAACAACACGAATCATGTCTTATTTTCAAAGAGAAAATCTAATGATATTGAATTTTTTTTTAGACTTTGTAGGAAAAATGTAACCTGCTTCAAGGAAACAGGGGACAAGTTTCTTTAGGGACATGTGGATTATCAATGGCTTGGGGAAACAAATTGAAGACAAGTCAGAATGAGCATCTTTTGATTGCATAGTGCAATAAGCATTTCCTATTTTTCTAGTTGCAAAACCCTTTGGAGATAAGTAAAATCAAATCGCCTCTTTTTTTCTAATATATTGATACTAAGGTACACAAAGATGAAGAGTATTTTTTTTTCAGGTCATGAAAGTAAATGGTAGAGAAAGAATTGATACAAAGCTTCAGCTCTTTTCTTTTTCAGCTAAATCATGCCAACAGCCCTTAGTAGTGCTAAACAATAGTGGTTGCTTTCAGTATATTTGCTCCTCATGACTGTCTAATAGAGATGCTTTGAGTTATGTCTTTACTTTATGGACCTTAGTTTTCCCATTTGTAAAACTAAGAGGGTGGAAGAGGGAAGAAACCACTTGGTTTCTATGTTGGGCTCCTTTTCAGCTCTGAGAATCTATGAAGAATAATGATGCAATTATGTGGCAAGATGCTCAGATGACAAAAGCTTTTCAAGTCTTCCTATTTCCTCCTTTGCTTTATTGTGAGGATGTTCAGAATTAAATTGCATGTCGAATTGCAGTAAATGTTTTGGCCCAGCTTATTATAACAGTGTGTCTGTTACTCTCTGGACAGTGCCTTGCAACTTTATATTTTGGTTGCTTTTCTGTATCAACAGTCCTGCCCCACCTGCAGTGTCACTAGCATTACTTCCCTGCTTTTGTTGTCATTGTTTTTTTAACTGACTATAACACTGAGCTGCAGAAAAGTGAAGTGACTTGTCCAAGCTTATCATTAGTGGAAATGAATTTCAAGTATACATCTCTCAGCCTCCAAAATTCAAATTCCTCTCTCCTTTCCTTGCCTTCCATTCTTGTCTTTCTTGCCCCCTCACTGCTGTAGAGGTCCTCATCTCTTTATTCTTTTGCTATAAAAAGTTCTAAGTATTTTTTGGCAAACATAGGTAATATGGAGAATAAATAAAATTTTCAATTAAGTTCATTTTATATAGAGTGTGAACATAATTTTGATGTTATATTTTACATATTCTTGCATATATAGGTCTTATTTATGGCTTTTTTTTCTCATTTTTGACATGACAATATAACCTCTGTCCCAATTTAGAAACAGTCACCTCTGTGTACCAATGAAGTCCACATCTGAGGGTTGAAACAACTTTGGATCAAAATATGTGGGAAATGTGTTTATACTGAATCTGTACTCTTTTTCTTTGTCATTATTCCCTAATGATGCGGCATAACAACTATTTACATAGAATTTATGTTTTACTAGTGGTTTTAAGTCATGTAGAGATAATGTAAAGCCTACAGGAGGATTGTGTAGAGTACCTGCAAAAACTATACCATTTTATGTAAGAGACTGGAGTACCTACTGCAGATTTTGGTGCCCATGAGAGGGTTCTGGAACCAGTCTCCCATAGATTCAAAGGAAGGATGTATTATCAATTTTAATGAGATAATGGACATTAAATGCTTAGTATAAAGTCTATAAAATACGGACTCCATAAACATAGCTCTTAAGAGTATTTACCTGGCCTCTATGCTAACTCTAGGTGGAGTAGTATAAGTAGCAAAACTCTCTGTTCCTTCTATAAGGAACACAAACTTTCTGGCCACACTCTTTGCAACAATAGAGCACTCAAGTGATAGTTAGTTTTCATGATGAGTGAACTATCATACTGCTTGCATAGTCATATTTTTACCTCTTTTTTAACTTCTTTTGCTTTGGGTTGTCTGGCAGAGGACAAAATCTGGATGTCAGTGCAGCACAACAACACAGAGTTGACTCGAGTGCAGGGTGCCAACCCTGAGAAGCCTTATGTCATGGCCTTGGACTATGGTGGAAGCATGGAGCAGCTGGAGGCCCTGATTGATGGCTCAGAGCACTGTGAGCAGGAGGTTGCCTATCATTGCAGGAGATCTCGCTTGCTCAACACACCTGGTAAGGCTCATTTTGCCTCTGCCCTTCCACAGGGCAATGTTGGAGGGTGGCCACAGTGGCATAGATGGATCCCCTGCACCCTGAATATCAAGAAGGGGGATGCAGTTGTAGCTGTTCACTGTGCTGTGGAAACAGATATGGCTAGGAGGACTGGTTATGTGTAAGTCTTATCTTTAATGTCCCCAATATAATCTGGGTGATTTGTACAGCCTCTCAAGGTTTTCCTCTCATCTTCCAAAAGGAAATGTTGACAACACCCATCCTCAGCAATTGTGAAAGTGAAGAGTTTCTTAAGAGAAATGGCACTTAAAGAGAGCATGCATTGAAGTGAGCATAGAAAGTGTGGTGGTATAGATGCTATTTCAGATGAGGGAATAGAACAAGGATCTCAGTACATTCATCCAAAAACAATGGGGTTTTTCTGGTCAAAGGACAGATAACTGACCAGCAAGACAGGTGGAGCCACTCTGTTTTCACAGCAAGTATATTACCTGAAGAATAGAGGTCTTAATGGAAATGGCAATTTATAAAAATAAAGTTTCATTTTAGAAAATAATAGTCTAACCCTTCTATTTATTTTTGATGCTACACAGTGAATGGTTAATTTAGTTTAATGAATGCAAAAAAGAAAAAAAAGAGCAAAAGAAAGAAAAGAAAACTTCTGTGACTCTTTGCCAAATCTCAAAATGTTTTTGCAATAATTTGGGAGGGGTTTCTCAAAGTTTATGTATGCTCTGGAAATCAGTCATTTTTGTGAGTGTCATTCCATCATGTACTTCAAGGTGATAAAGGTCCATAAAGTATCAAGTATTTAAGAAAGGGTGTCAAAGTCTCTAGTCTCCAGGATCTTAGAAGGTTAGTAATTTTGAAAGGTGGGAGAAAAATGGAAAAGGATATGTCAAAAAAGGGGGAGTGGGAGAAGCCTAACTAAATACAATGTACTGCTGGCTGATCTAGAATCTTCAGGGAAGACTTTCTTCCACATCACTGAATTTTCCAGATAACTGTCACTTACTCTTTTAAGCATGAGATACTTTTTCAAACAATTTTTAACTATTTGAAGCTAAAATCTTTCTCAAGTGGATTTCATGCTTCCTTGCCTTCTTAAACAGAGAATTCTCAACATAAAATGTAACCTTTCCCTTATGGCTTACAATAAGCAATTGTGAAAATCAATTATGGTACTGTACATGGAGGCCCTCCATCTGTGTCCCTTTCCTTTCTGTCCTCAGACTTATCTCTCTTCCTTGTCTATCCAGGCTTCATGAGTCACTCACAGCACTTATTCAGGATGTCTATCTCCAGAAACTACTGTACTTACTTTTCATTACCTTGTTGGTAGTTTTCTTAAGATTGAGTTTGGTAGAATTATAGGAAAAACTGAAGTAAGTTCATTCTGACTTTGGTACATTCTGACTCATACTTCCTTTAGAATATAATTCTGTGATGTCAATTTGACTATGCTTTTTCCTTTGTGTGCATGTATTTCCTTCCTAACTCAAATGTCTTAAATTCCCTGAACATATGCAAATGGGAAGGGCATGCATGGAATTGGGAGAAGCCATATTAGAAAAGAGAGAGTCAACCCTGTCCTTACCAATCGTTTGAATTTGTACAAGTTGCTTAATTTCTATATTTCAGTTTTACCTCCTGATAAATTTTGAGGAAGGTTCTTAACTCATAAGGCCAACGGGGAGGGGTGAAGCAAAAATGTAGTCTGAACTCTGCACTAACAATGCTGGTAAAGATTAGGTATATAGCAAATGCTATGTCCTGGCTTACAGCTTCCATCCCAGCAGAGAAGATCCAAAACTTGTGCCATAATGGAAAATGAGCCCGAAGAGAAATTTTACTTCTATTTTGTGTACGTAGAATATTTATAATAATTATGTAACAACAGAATTGATTAGAAAACTCATATATGTAGATAATCCCTATACTTGGAGATGACCAATTTAACACTCCAGTGCGAATCCTTCCAGGCATTTTTATATGTGCTTACTCACCAAGACATAATAAAAACATTCTTTCCACATGTTTGCTCTTGAGAGTTCTCATAAATCCTCTTTTCTCCCATCAATTCTGAATCAAAGGAGGAAGTCGAAGGTGTTACATGGTCATGGACACTCAGTTTGTACTTTCTCCTGAGGAGCTGGCCTAAGGATCTGCAGCATAAACCCACCTGTACCTTAGCTTCCACCTTCGGACTAGTCACTGTGTGTGCGCCATGTGGAGCTATGCGTATTCACTCAGATAGCCCATAGAGGTATGGCCCAGACTTACATCCTCACTGGGGGGTGAGAAGCTACATGGCCCCCATGCAGGTGAGCTTACCTTATTAAAGTAGGGATAGAAAGAACAGTGTGTACCATGGAGCCACATGGATCTGAGAGCCAGCAGCCAAGGTTCATACCACCAGTGATGTACCCCCAGGCTCCCTTGGTACTAAGTACTGTCTTCCCCATGATGGGAAAACCCAAAGACAGAGGTAAGAAAGGTAGAGACATCTCTCTGTCACCTACCTATGAGTCTGAAAGGCTTTGGCAAGTTTCTTCTAGCTAAATCTAGGATGTATTCAGGAAAGAGATTCCAAACTCTGAAGATGCTATTTTATAGCCTATCATGAATAAATACCTTTCCATATCAATAAATATGGCTTCAAACCATCATTTTTATTAACAGCAGAGTATTCCCTTATATAGATTTACTTCAATTAACAAATCTCCTCTTTGGACATGTAGATTGTTTCTAGTCTTTCACTAATACATATAATACTACAAGAACATTTGTGAAAGTAGATCTTTGTGAACATAACTGATTATATCCTCTGGATAAATTCCTTGAGGTACCATTGCCAGAGCAGAAAATGCACATATTTTTAAAGCTTTTGCCACATTGATTTCTGCAGTATATCAAGGTTGAGCCAATTTATACTCCCCAAAATATTGTGGGACTGAGTGGCCACTTCCCAGAAATGGATATTATCACTTTATTTCCACTTTGGCAATCTGATAAATGTAAAGTGGCACAAAAGACAATTATAAATAAATTTTGTTGATGTAGCTAATTTAAAAAATGTAAGCTAAGTCCTGTAACTTACTGGCTTCTACTAAGTAATAGCCGGGGTTAGTAGAAGCTATGAAATACTGTAATTTGTGGTTGCAGGTGAATTTTAATCAATAAGAAGAGGATGCAGAATATGCCTTATTCTCCTCCATACTGTACACAATAGATGATGAAGGGAGGAAATAAAGAAGGCAAAATGAGAGAGAGAAAAGCAGTATCCAAATGGCCATGAATGACAGAAGTTTCTGAAGTCGTAAGCTTATGTGTGAGGTGTATTGCAAACATTTTCTCTAACTCTCACACCACATATACATAATTACAGCTTTAGTATCTGGTATTTCAGAAAACAAGCACATCCTGAGGACAAAAGATGCTCACTAAGTGCCACATGACTGAAGAGGGGTAAGTCTGGTTCTCACCCCAGCTTACCTATGATAAATCAAGATGTTCTTTCTTACACACCATGCAAAGTCCCAAAAACTCACATGTTAAAGGGAATGGAGTAGTCAGAGGAAGCATGCTTTTGTATAAATTTCCTTATTGAGTAGAAATATAAAGATAAAGAGAGAAGAATGTCCAGGGCTGTCTCTACTAAGCCACTTATTGTGGGTGTGCCCAAGCTGGGCAAATTCCTGGGAAACAACAAAGGGTTTTCACAAAGTTTGCCTGGAAACAGCAGCTTTCAGGGGACTCACAGCCTCCTTTGGAGGTCTGTAGATCTCTACAAGTGCATCCTCAGAACTTTCTCTCTCTTGGCTGTGGCTTTGACTCTGGTTCCCTTCATCTAGCAATAACAAGGGAGCAGAGAGAAGACAGGCAGGATAGAGTCACATAGGGTTCTCCACTGTGTCTTTCCATTCGGTTTGTGACTGAGCCATGGCACTGTGATTTTTATGACCATTTTCTGTGATATTTTTCTCCAGAGCTACTGACAAGTGCCAACCAGTGGGATGTGTCATCTGTCTCTTTAACTGGATCTTTGTACTAGAAAGTCTTGGAAGGAATGGAATTGCAAGGCATTTGGATCCACAGAAAACATGTCTATTATTCCTGTTCATCTTTGTATTTCCTTCCACTGTGTTTGGTACTTTCTGCCCTGAGTTTTATGCAGGGCCTGAGCCCCTGAGCTATAGATCAGTTCCCACACAGGGCAGGGGAATTGTCAACATATCAGTGTTCCGTAGAAGGAGGTGGCCACTTGTTCCCAGGGAAAAGGACTATCCTGGCTGAGTACTGGCCTTTCTCACATGTTAGTACCTCCTGAGGAATTTTGTCTAGGCCAAGGTCCTGCACCATGAGGTAAGTATATGACATGCAGAAGGTTCCAGCTCAGGGAATGTTTGTACAGAGGTCAGAAAAGTAAATATGGAGCCACAGTCTGGATGCTTTGCTCACATAGTCTTTAGCTCAAAAACCCACCACTTCCCTTGAAAGGAAGACAAGTTTGAGAGGCACATAGGAAGGTCACCCCAGAGGAAGCCTCATACTCAGGTCCCTGGCACATTGAACCTCCTGTTTATCCCCAAGTTCTCTTCTAATGCTTTCCACGGTGCTGAAAATGTCTTGCTAGATTTACTCGCTGGGGGTGTAAGCATCTAGTTTATTTACCACTGATGTGAAAGTCTTTTTGGGAATGCCCTTTCCAATAAGCCAGTATTGATACCTGTGTGCTATGGTTTCCATTTTAACTATCCCACAAAGGCCCGTGTGTTAAAAGCTTAATCTCCAGTTGACACTATTGGGAGGTGGTAGAATATTTAAGAGGTGGAGCCTAGCAGGAGATCTTTGGGTCATTGGAATGTGCCCTTAATGGGAATATTGGCACCTTGATTTCTTCCTCTTTCTTATTTACACTTCCTGCCTACATTCCTGCTACAGACCTGAAGCACTGGAGCCAAATGATCACAGACTGAAACTGCCAAAACTGTATTGTA